TCATCTGTGTAGAGTAGGACAGGAGAAGCGCGGGCTGTAGCTGCGAGCTGTCCAAAAGGTCGCCAAGAGTTCCGCCAGTCATGAGCTCCATGTCAATCATTATGGCCGTTCTCGATATCTGGATGCCGAGAATATCAATGCAATTGATTCTAGCGCGCGAGTCATATTTCTTCAATCGCTGCAGACAAGCGATTTCTCGTATAGCCTCAGGTGGTAAGCCGTTACAAGTTTCAGTGAGTAGTATGTGTTTGCGGGCGATAGGAAGGCCCCTGAGCTTGTATACAGTACCGAATGATCCCGAGCCCAGTTGCTCTCCCATAGGAGTTGACGTTGTGATTCTCATAGAGAGCTCTTTGCATATAGACACAGAAACGAAGATAGAGGTGTGTGACTGTTCCCGTATATACATATATACTATTTATTTATTTACATTCATGTACAGACTGCAAAGTGTCTCAAGTCTTTCCAGTCTCAATGTTGCTAAGTCAAGCATTCCATAACACTTCAGCCTCCCACCTGATGGTTATTTGTCAAGAACGATAGCAAACATCGTTTCCATCATCTCATTCAGATATACATTGACGAAACATTTGCCCATCTGACAACAGATATGTCAGTCTGAAGTTCGAATGAATACGTGCAGACGTTTTCAAAAGCGCTGTCTTTCCTAGAATGTAACAACTACTGATAATGCCCACCTTTCTACTCTTTTCTGTAGCTCTCTATGCGCACCGATTGATTCTAACCATTGTCAACAACTCCACGAACCAGACGATTTGGCCTGCAGTCGAAGGCTCAGGCTCAATCATAGAGTCATCTGATGATGGAAGCGTTATCGATTATTCTCAAGACCCTTTACCCGAAGGCCTTGCGTTGGAAGCTAACTCGCAGATCGAAATCTCTCTCAGCTCGTTCCCATGGTCAGGACGCATCTGGGCGAGGCAGCATTGCGCAGCCGGCGGATCGAACTGTGTTTTAGGTGACTGTGGTCACCCGAGTTGCTGGGGTCGTTCATCTACCGGCACTACGCTGTTTGAAATTACTGCACAAAAAGACAAGATGTATTACGACATCAGCCTAGGTGAGTCTGCATCTACATCTGACTCGTTCCAGAATACCGATCTCACCTCCGTCACTTAGTCGACAGTTTTACATGCGGCGTTCACGTTGTGCCGGACGACCAGGACTGCGAAGCGATCGCTTGCCTAGCCCCGCCCTACCTCGGCATCAATCCCGAGGATCAGTCACTGGTATGTCCTCCCCTCAACCTGATCACTGACCCGAGGACAGGTGACGCACCCATCGGCTGCTATTCCAACTGTGCCGTACACGAGACAGACGAGTATTGTTGCAGGGGTATATACGATGCAACGACCTGTAAGGGTAACAATCCGTGGTTTAAGGAGACGTGTCCGGACGCATATAGCTACGCTTACGACGACCAAGACGCCACATTCACGTGTGGCTTTCGCAATGTGACGATATATTTTCACTGCTCATAGGATCCCCCAGTGTTTTTCTAATTCAGGCTTGCCGATGTAGGTCATGGTACATAGCAAGGAATACTGAGTAAAAGTGTGAGAAGGGGAAACGGCAAGTGTACCGAGTGATCTCTGGTGCTTATCAGATATGCCGAGACTTGAAGGTCATATTAAATAAAAATAAACTTGATTGCCATGAATAGCACGCATATGCGAACTAATTTACATAATGTTTAACCTCCTGTAGGGCAGTTAGACAGCTTCTAACCTGCCGCCTCGCAGCAACATTGATGGCAACTTCCCTCCACGTGCGTGCGAACTGATAGGAGACACGCATGCGGGGATGGGCTGTTTGTCTTTCGCCCTAGACTTGCACCTCAACCCACCTGACTGGACCGTAATAGAGCACTATCGAATCTATTGCTCTACGTAGCCGCAAACGCCATAGTCGGTTTAAGCGACGTGGCAGCTATAAAGGCTCGGATTGTTTGTATGATGGTCATTTAAACTACTAGGAAAGACCAGATGAAATAAAATAACAACGTCAGTGGACTTCCGATTTTGTCTCAATGGGAATGATGTAAGCTTTCTTTCTGCTTTTCGCTTGCCTTGGCGGTAACCCCGAACTTGGGGGAGAAGCATTTATACTGAATGGACGGCAGCTCCGAATGTCTGTCTGTCCCCCGCAGGATGGTGATTGATTGACACAAGAACAGCCTACCGCTTCGGAATAATGGCAAATTGTCGAGCCTCGGTGTCGTGCTTATCGTCATGCTCTTGAGTAACGCGAGCGAGCGGTCGGGCAGTCTTATCTGTTCTCATTTCGTCAACAGAACCTACCCGAAAGTCACATACGATACCAGAATGTGTCGTCTCAACCTGGCTCTCGTCGCTATGGTCCGTAGTCATCTGGACTCTTCTCTCCGGAGCGCATCGAATTGACTAATCACGCTAGTTAGATCACCATAGGCTATAGCCTTAATTGCACGGTTGTGCTTTATATTGGTGTCTTCCAATATTCTACTTTTACAGACTACACGCCGGCTGCATGCCAATGACGCCGTGATTTTGACAGCCTTCGATCCCAAAGAACCATTAGCTAGTGCAGACTCGCGGCGTACATGTAGACCGAGGATAAGGAAGAAGCACAGCGACCTCATGATCGGATGAGAAGGAAGTCTTGAAGAAGTAGTGGATGATGTATTTGGTTGTCGTGGCCTGCGGCGTTCTGCGCTACGAAAGTAATTTCCTGGACGTCTGTGGCAATGACTCCGTCTCTGCTGCGATGACGAAAGCACGATAATGCTGAGTAATACCAGACGACCACCGGCCCGACAAACGGTTTTCTTCTCATAATCACCCCCCAAGCCAACATCCGTCTGCTCACCCAACACACCGCAAGCTGACAGAGGAGGATTTTGCGAAAGTAGCCGGCCTATCAAATGCTGGCGTCGCGCCCAGAGATATCCGGACATACACACGACAAACCACAAACTCTGTAGCAACCCAACAGGATATCTACAATCATATTGCAGCCATCAAACGAGATGTTCGTGGAGGGCAGACCTCGATCCACGCACTTGCCAATCAGCTTGACGAGGAAGGCTTCTGGAGTCGAATCAATTCGCACCAGATGGCCGCGTTACAGCTGTCTTGTTCGCCCATCCAGATTCCCTAGCCCTCCTACAAGCTTACCCAGACATAATGTTGCTGGACTGCACTTACAAGACCAACAAGTACGGTATGCCGCTTCTTGACATAGTTGGCGTCGATGCTTGCCAACGTTCCTTCTGCATCGCGTTCGCATTTCTCAGTGGCGAAACGGAAGATGATTATACCTGGGCTCTGGAGCGGGTCAGGTCCTTGTATGACCAGTGCAACGCTAGCCTACCTGCGGTTGTCCTCACAGATCGCTGCTTAGCATGCATCAATGCTGTAGCCGCTGTCTTTCCATCTTCGGCATCTTTGCTTTGCCTCTGGCATGCGAACAAGGCGGTGCTTTAGCATTGCTATTCTGCGTTCGACCTTGTCAAGACGAAGACAACCAGTAGCCCTGCAGCGCCAAAGTCATCGACTGACAACTGGGGAGAGTTCTACAAGTCCTGGCATTTGATTGTTAGCTCGCCGTCTGAGATGACCTTTCAGGAGCGTGTTTCTCACTTCGAGGAACGCTATCTTACGGACCATCTTGAAGAAGTCGGCTACATTACGTCCTTTTGGCTCCATCCGTACAAGGAGAAGCTAGTGAAAGCCTGGGTTGATCAGCACACGCACTTTGGCAACGTGGCTACCTCGCGGGTTGAAGGCATCCATGCTCTGCTCAAATCGCACCTAAAGAGATCCACGTTAGATCTGTTCGAGGCTTGGCGAGCGATGAAGCACGCGTTACTCAATCAGCTCTCGGATCTGAGATCTAATCAAGCCAAGCAACAGACACGAATACCGGTCGAGCTTTCGGGAACAATATATGGCGCAGTACTTGGCTGGGTATCGCATGAAGCCCTCCGGAAAGTAGAAGAGCAGCGGAAGCTGCTCAGTAAGAATGGCACAGACCATTCCTCAGTCTGTACGGGGGCCTTCTCTCGTGTGTACGGTTTGCCATGTCTACACAAATTAAAGGCTTTACAGGAACAAAATCTTGTTCTGCTACGTGAGCACTTTCATGCGCATTGGCACCTGAGGCGTGAATGGGCGCCGCAGCTGTTACTAGAGCCTCGCCAGCGCATCGAGCCCAGGTTGCAATCGGAGAACCGCCGAATTCCGGTTTCAAGCACTAGGCGAGACCCAAGCAGCTTTGAAATCGTTGAACTCGCGTCACGGGCCCCAAGCACATGTAGTAGGTGTCATGCGGTTGGCCATATTATGACCTCAAAGGCGTACCCTCAGCGATATTCACATTTGTTGCCTGAGCCAATTCCTACTCCAGGCCTAGCCCCAACACCGAGTGCAGTCTGTGCCACTACACGGAAAGTCACGGAAAGCCTTCCGTCGAACGCCGTACAGTCCATAACAGCCTTGACTCAATCGACTACAGATGAAGCAGTGGATGCCAGGATGTCACCACCTGAGATGCAACCACCGTCTCGGCGTTCGCGTTCGCCCTCGGTTCTAAAATACGATTCACCTCAGGCAATATACGGACGGTACTGTGCAGCGAGAACCGCCTGGTATGCCGCCCAGCCTCGCGGAAGTGTCAAAACAAACCAGGAGTATCGGAGGGCAATGGGACTTCCGCTGCGTTATGGGAAGAAATGTTATGAGTGGTGTCTTGACTACAAGCAGATGAACAAACGCTGCACCACCTGCAAGGGGTCAAGAGATTGGCTTAAGGAAGAGATGATGGCTTATCTAGACTGGGACAGAGCTGAAGAGGAACGGGTTGATGAGCTTGTCATCGCTGAGGAGGGAGAAAACCCTTTTCGAAATAGCAGGAGAGGTATGGGCGACATCTGGAAACGAGTTGAGAGAGACAACGCCGAACAGGAGGCGTTGTATGCTGAGAATCTGCCCGAAGAGTGCATTGTGGTTAAATCGTAAATTATAGGGTAATTGGAACCCAAGCCGCGGCTCCGATTGGCTCAAGACCCGTGCAGCGAACGTGCTTAGTCATATTCACGGGTACCCGTGGAATTTTACATGCACGGGTACCCGTGAGCCTATTGGGAGCCCTCGGTTTTGGCCGCTTTAGTCAGCAGCTATGCCCGGATAGCGGGGTTTGGCCAACAGCCGACGCGCTCCGGACGTTAATCCGCAAAGCCCCACTTCGCCAATGCAAAACACTGACCAGCTGTCTCCAAATCTCCCACTTGGCTCTCCAACCTCAACTACCCTTGGCTGGCACCTCGTGTAGTTCGCGGTTCTCTGCTAATGTACATGCATGTCTAGTCTCTATTGAGGTCTTTCTCCTCTTACAACGGTTCAGCGTACCTACAGTCTCCCCCCAATGTTCAGCTTAGTCTGCTGTGCGACTCGATCCCGTGTTGCCCAAGGATCTCGGCCTGTTCTATGAATCGGATTGCCTTGGCGGCTGCTTTGCGCTTGTTCAGTATGACCCGGAGATTGTGTCGTCCTGGGAGGGTTCCGAATTCCTGGCGCCGGAGTTGCCGAAACCTGCGGCATCGCAGCAGGATGTGCGATACCGTTTGTCGTCCTTCCCGGCAGGGGCAGTTGGCGTTGGTGATGCCCGGTACTCTTCGGTTGAAGAGGAAATCCTGTAGCCCGATCTTTTCCGTGCGCATCTGGACCAAGAGTGCGCTTTGGCGTTTACTAAGGCCTTCGTGGAGTCCGAGGACCTTCTTTGTCGGCTTCGGCGTGAGACGGAACGATGTTCTCCCTCGCGTCTCGGTTTCCCAATTGGTTTGCCACGCGTGGTGGGACTGTTTATGCGACCATGTCTTGACTGTCGACCTGAGTTTGAACAGGGCTCTCGGCTTGTCTGCCCTGGAACCTGTCTGTCTGTCTGGCCTCCATCCCGTCGCCTCCTTGGCTGCGATGTCTGCTGCTTCGTTGCCCTGGATGCCGACGTGGGCTGGCACCCACCGGAGCTCGACTTCGAGTCCCTGTTCTCGGAGGGCTTGTGTCTTTTCTGCGATGGCCTTGAGAAGGTACGCGCCGGACTTCCCCTTTGGGTTGGCTGACGATCTGATGGCGGCCTGGTTGTCGGTGTGTATGAAGACTTTGCTTCGGTGGTTTCCGTTTTCCTTGTCTGCCTGCGCCATCTCGAGGGCCAGGACGATGCCCTGCAGCTCTCCCGCGTAGACAGTGGATGTCGTGTCGTCCCCCATGTGAGATTTCCTAGTTTGCTGTGTGGTTGTGCAGACTGCTGCCGCTCCGATCTGACCGTCGATGCCGCTGCCGTCTGTATAGATGTGGGCTTCGTCGGTGTTCTTTTCCAGACAACGTTCGTGTTCTTTTTGGGCCTGCTCCATGCCTCCGGCGATGTGGATACGCGGTCCCTGCCACCACGGAGGAGTGATGAAAGGCGGTATGTGCTCGTGTTCGTGTTGTTCGTGTTGTTCGCTGGTTACATCTTGTCCATCGTGTATTCGGTTTGTTATCGTCTGTCTTGGGCTCGTTTTCTTTCCTCTGCGTGCGGTGACTTCGGCCATGCCTACTCTGCTGATGGTGTCGATGTTGTGTTTCCATATCTGTTGTTCGACTGGCAGGAGGTGCATTTCCACATCTAGTGTTGGGAACGAGGTTGCTCTGTATGCTCTGGACATTGCCCTGGCTGCTCTGGCTTGGAGCCTCTGCAGTCTGTTTAATGTTCTTTTCGTGTAGCCCATCTCTCCCCAACCGCTGTTGGACCACAGCGAGCATGCGTACATCATCTGTGGTATTGCGACTGCCCTATAAATCGTTCTCGTCTCTCTCGTCATCACGCCCCACGTGGAGCTGCCTAGACTGCTGAGTGCTGTGATGGTGTTCGTGACCTTACGTTCTGTCTCGTTGATGTGTTGTTTCCACTTGAGGGCTGAGTCCATGATGAGACCGAGGTATTTACAGGTTGCCTTAGGCTTAATTTCTCCCCACTGGCTGTGGAGTGTTGTGTCTCTGTCGATTCGGGTTTTCGCTCTTGTGAAGTGGGTAAGCTGGAACTTTTCGGGCGCGAAGACGGACGCGTGAGTGGAGGCCCATGTCTCGGCTTTCCGAAGCGCTTCTTGGAGCTTCTGGCAGGTTTCCTCAGTGCTGTTTCCCACGGCTAGGATTGCTACGTCGTCGATGAAGCCGGTGGCTGTCGTATCTCCGGTGTCATTGCAGCTGTCCAAGAGATCTGCGTTGTACAAGAGGTAGAGTATTGGCGAAAGAGGCGAGCCTTGTGGGATGCCAGTGTCGAGTTTGTAAGTTTCGGACTGGAACCCGTCCACGTGGATCTCCGTCTCCCGGCATCCCAGGAAACTGGCAATCCAACGCACCGTCGCTTCGTCGATCCGCCTCTTCCTTAGGTTATGCAGGAGTCGGCGGTGCGAAACATTATCGAAGGCGCCTGACACGTCCAGGAGAAGTAGGCTTGCTACCATTCCCTTCCCTGAACCCCAGGCTTCGTATATTTTATCTACGATTTGATGTAGTGCGTGTTCCGTCGACCGACATCTTCTCCCGCCCATGTGGCTATCTGGCAGCAGTCCATGTGTTTCGGCAAGGTAGCTCAGTCTCCTCGCTTGATGGCATCCATGATCTTGCCCACCGTGTTCAGAAGGGCTATCGGTCTGTATGCTTTGGGCACTGTGTAGTTGTCTTTACCTGGCTTCCTAAGCACCACCGTGGTGGACTTTCTGAAGTGTTGTGGGCAATATCCTAACCGGAGACTCTGGTTGAATATGCGGACGAGATGTGGCGTGATCCATGGTCTCGCCACTTGAAGTGCCAGGTTCGTGATGCTGTCGGGGCCCGGGGCCTTCAACGGTGCTGCTTCCTGGATGGCGTCCTCTACTTCACTGTCCGATACTGGCGGCAGGCCAATCTGGTTGCTGTACGATGCTTTGTCGATGTCTTCGAGGTTTGCCTCTAGCGGCGGGGGAAAGAAGGTCTCCTTGAAGAGCGCTGCTTTCTCTTCAGGCATTGTGGCGATCTGGGGCGTGTTGGGGTTCTTGATTTCCGGCGTAACGGTTGGCGGCTGGCTCTGTCTGTTCCGGGCCCATTTGGTGATCTTCCACAGCGATCTGGGTGACTCGGCCGCTGTTTTGACTGCGTCGCGATGTGCTTGCTGGAGAGCTTTCTTGACGATGCGGCCTTTTCTGTTGCGTGCCTCTCTGTACGCCTCCCAGCTCTCCTCTGTCTGTCGCTCGCTGTAGTCGCGGCGGAGTCGTTTCGTCTCGGCCAAGATGGCTGCGCACTGCTCGTCCCAGCCTCTCCTAGATTTGGGGGAAATGATGCTGGTCGGGACGGCCGCTCTGGTGGCGGTTGAAAGGGCGTCTATGATTTTCTCTACGTATCCGTCGAGCGCTGCCTTCGTTCTTGGTCTTCGTAGCTGCGGCAACGATCCCCGCAGCGTCTCGACGAACATTTCCTTATCAACAGCTTTCCACTTCCGTTTCTCCTCTCGTTGTAGCTCGGTCACTGCTATGTGCAGGGACGTCGCTATGGGTAGATGATCGGAGTCATGGTCAATGTTGTGATCTACTTCGCATCTGATCATTCGGTCAACGAGACCTACAGTTACGAGACAGAGGTCGATAGTTGTCCGGTGATCTCCTTCTTCGTACGTTATGGTTCCCGCTCTCAGTTGATTCGTGAGGTTCGTGTCGTCCATGAGGTCTAAGAGCTCGGTTGCTTCGCGGTCCGGCGCTCGGATATCGCTGCCTCCCCAAAGCTCATGGTGTAGGTTGAAGTCACCGACGACGTTTTGCTCAACGTGCTGGTGTGTTTCCAGTGTTGTTCGTAGCTGCTGTAGGACCGGCTGTCGATCTTCCTCCCGCGGTGACGGGTTGTACACATTATGTAGCACTAGGCTTGTTTCGGTATCGTCATCTGTTGCGATAATCAGAGTGCAGAGATCTCTGCTGACCTCCCTAAATTGCCATCGAGAGTGGTCGAGCTTCTTGTTGATGAAGAAGCAGACCCTGGCTTGGCCTCTTTCCTCGCTGCAGGGGTAGCACAGGTGGAACCGGTCCTTGGCCGGATGGTGTGTCGTTGCGCTGTAGGGGTTCCTCCACGGTTCCTGAATAGCAACTATGTCGTAATTATCGATGTTCGGGTCACGGAGAAGTGCCGCCATGACGGTATCCTTCGATTTTCTTACGTTGTACTGTAGTATTGTGAGTGTGTGTTGTGCGTTCATTCGCTATCGTCGACAACGATCTCCATCGCTGTGCTGTTGCTTATCGTCTGCGTGTCTGTCATCTGCGTGTTGGGGTCGAGCGCCTCGAGCGCTCTTCGCGATCGGATGATTGTGCGTCTCGGACGCGTATTCTCTGCAGCTACGGTAATCGTCTCCTCCGATTCCTGGGTTGCTGTCGGGTTAGGCCTCTTCTGGATCTTCTTCGTTGGGGACCGGCTCCGGCTCGGACGATTCTCCTGGGATTGTCCTGGTTCCAGTGGCGGCCGTGTGATTCTCGGGTTCGGCCTGATCCGGGTTTCCGGTCCTAAGGCCGGCGGCGGGGCCGTCTGTTCTGGATGGTACCTCGACCGTTGGCCGTAGGCGGCCTTGATCTTGGCCTTCTCGCGGATCCGGGTGGGGCATCCGCCGTGCCATGCCTCGTGTTCGCCGTACCATGCGGCGCATTTCCTTGGGGTCGTCGTGTCGCTCTTCGAGGAGCAATCTCGGGTCGCGTGTTCTTGCGCACAGTAGCCGCATGTTGTCGTTGCCTTGCACTGGGTTCCTATTTGGCCGTATGCGCAGCACTTGAAACACTGCCTCAGACGGCACTAACTGTCATATCGTTCGCATGGGAATACCTGCCTTGCCAGATGAGTCCCTCGTCAATGAGTTTGTTGGCGTCTTCTGCCCTTGAGAGCTCCACAACCACTGATGATGCCGTCTTTTTGCAGGTCGATTGGGTCAGCTAGCCTACGTACTTGATGTCCGCTCTGGGGATGAATGCCTTATTATCCTGCAGCAGGTCATCTCTGATTTCTGTGAAGCGATCCATGTTCATGGAGCTGGTTCTAATGCCGTGCGCTAGCACCCCGTAGGTTGGAATTCTCACGGCTGCTCCGTTGCCGATGTGGTTTTCCCAGTCCTCGGCAAACTGCCGGAGGGCTTCCGTGTCTTTCTTCGTTGTTGTCTTGACGCTCAGGTCGCCGCTCTTGAGTTGACTGGCGGACACGGTCTTGAGCTTGCGGATGTGCTCGTTACTGCTTTGTGCGATGGCGCGGTCTACGTGCGCCTTGAGGCTACGGGGGTTCATGGCTCTAATGCTGGCAATGGTGAAGGGGTCTCTAATGTTCACAATAATTTCACGCAGAGTCTGGGCCTGGGACGCTCTCTGGTTACAGGGGTTATGCATGCTCCCTGCAAGTCCTCCTCGGGCGGCTACGCTAGCATATGACTGCACGGTGTTCCCCTGATTCATCGGCTCCAGTGCTTTAATATCCTTCCCGACCTTGACTGCCAGCTCGCTAGCGTTCCAAGCCTCCATCGCGGCCGCGTTGGCTGCGCGCGTTGTGTTGATGTTTTCCCTAAGTTCGACCGTGTTCTGCTGCATGGCAATCCTGATGGTTCTCGTTTCGCGGATGTTGTTGTCGTTGGCTTTCTTGTTTTCCGCACGTAGACTCTCAAAAGCTTGGTGGAGGTGTCCGAGTTCGGGTAGGTTCTGCATTTTGACGAGCAGAGAGAGGGTTGCAATGAGCGTGGCCCTCACAGCTTGCGGGTTGAGGGGTTGTCCGTTTGCGGTGTCGATTGACTTGAGTGCTGTCTGAAGGTGTCTGCTAAGTTGGGTGGCGTGCTCTCTATGGTGCGTTGGCCATGTTTGCTGCTGAGGCCATGGGGTTGCCATGGTGCCTGCGTCGCTTGTGGGCTTCACGACGAGCTCTCGGCTATCCAATTGACCTTTCGGAGTGTGTTGTGGCGCTATTTTTGCTCCGACTTCGAAAATCTCGTTCTCGCTGTTGTTGATGTTTTTCACGTGCTGGGTATCCTCAATGCTGTTGGTGCCTTGTTCTAGCGTCTGGGTGCGTGCTGGCCACTGCAGTGGTATTCAAACGCCTTCAAACACCTGGTTGCGTTCTGAAGATGCTGCTTCCGACCGTCAAGGAGAAACCGACAATCTCGCCGCATTGAACTCACTTCCCGAACTGCAGATATCCTTCGCACGGCCCTATAGTACTCCATGAGATAACTCGCAGCGGGCGGTTACGGCACTTTCAGGGATGCTTCACCGAAAACCGCCCGATCATAGTCGAAGCCGCCTCTGGGGCCACGACGGTGTGATGGTAGCTTGCCCATAATGTGAGGATGCTTGCATGTAGTGTAAGCTACGAAAGATTACAGCAACTTTCGTAGATTTGTCCCCGGTTGTGACTGCCCTTCGGAGGAGTTGCGTAAGAGGCGCCCCCGGACACCTGTTGACTAGACGTCGACCTTATAGATCGGCTTCCAAACCCTCCACACGGCTATGTCCGCTCAGGATCTGGCCTTGCAACGGTCGTACTGACGGCGCAGCCACCCCGTGCGAAACACGAGCCCATGATCGGGTGAGTCTCCATATCCCATCGTGTGTCGTCTGAGACTACATCGCCGAGAATGCCGTCGATTCTCATCCCTCGCCGGTTGAGAAATGTCGCATATTCGCTCGCTCAGCTTTCTCTAGCACCTTTGATGTAACTTTGCGACGGCTCAGACCCTGGAACATCGAGCGGTACACGACGTCGTTGTGCTTGACACGCTTTACACCTTCAAGTAGCGATCTAGCCTCCGTTCCATACCACACTTTCTTTGACGCGTTAATGCATCCATATATGACCTGCGAAGGATCGCCTCGGAGCGTGCCGACCTTGACGTATTGATTCTGGGCGCTTTTGTCGACCGGCTTCCTACGCGTCGGCGCAAGTTTGCGGCGCTTGATGGGCACGGCAGAGATCGTGTTATTGAGGGATTTGCATTTCGTCATCGCTCGTCGTACGTTGTGCCTTCTATTTGATGGTCGTTGGTAAAGGTAGACGGTGAGTGAGGGGTTCTGGCGAAGACGAATCTACTGCGCTAAGCAGGGGGCTCGGGTCGAGGGCGGGCCGATCGGAGCTTCCGCAGTGCTATAGTGGATTAGGTAAGTTTAGCCTCTCAACGAATAGGTAAGTAACAAAGTGGGTGATAAAATTAATCTCCACTCAAGACATTTGACAACCACTTTCCACTGCTGTCATCGGTAATAGACACAGCTAGTAAGATGTAAGAAAAAGACGACCTAAGAGCGAGCGCACGTTTTGTCACGTCTAAGGGGCAAATTTGAAGTTGAAACAGGAAGTCGCGGTGATGGGAATGGGGGTCACAAGCACTTGACGTGCACAAGAGTGATGCTACTGTCTCTGTGGACATGGCACGTGCACCTCTAGAAAACACCAGATGGGGAGGTTCAACTGTGCCGGGCCTGATATCGTGGGGCTGCTCGTGATCCGTGGAAGCGCAGAGAGCCTGTGGCGCAGTGCTTGTACCTTGTGCTTTTGGACCTGTCCCTGCTCTACCTGCCTGACTCGCAACGTAGTACTTTGTTGTACTCCACACTAGGGTATGGACGCGTTCCCTGAATGGAGACCAACCACAGGCAAGATAGCGCGTCCACGCAGCGCATTGGCCTTCGTAGAGTTTGGCAGGGCAGCTATGCCCACGCCCCTGCATCGACCACATCATCTAGATAAACTTGGGATCTCTACAAAGTACTGTGTATGTACAGAGGCAGGGGTGGGCCCCCGCAAAATGGTACACTTTTGAGCGTCTTTGCCGAAATTAGGCTCGAGGGGTCGAAAAATCCGCGCGCATACTATCCGGCGGGCTTGGATTCGCGTTACGGAGTCACGTGCACCCAGAGCAGGCTCGGGAAGGTACCACGTGGTAGGAAGATAGGATGGCCGGTTTTTTGGTGTACGCCATGGCGAAAGTCGAAACATAGGGGATCAGGCCCTAGCGTTGCGGCTCCAAGTACTCCGTGAAGCGCACGCGCGAGGCCTTGGGGTCGGGGGGGCAGACACGAACCGGCGAGGCTGGCGCTGATGCTCCTCTCCGTCCCGTCCCGACGCGGGGCGTGAACCGTCTCCGGCGTCCCCCGGGCGGGCGGGAC